CCAAGACGCGACACCGGAAGTCATCATTGCGAACCCAGTGCTGCCGCGACACACGGGCTATCCACCACCAACACGTCTTGTCGTAGGCCGAAATCCTACGCATATCATCCACACGAATCGGCCAGGACTGACTTCCGTACAGCAGGACCGCACGGGCATAAGCGTTGTAGACGCTCCTTTCTAAGGAGAGGGATGTGTTCCGACGACGCCACAAATGATTCAGGTTGCTAAATTCCGATCAGGCTTTAGCGAGTCGGAAAGACCTGTTTCCCAATTATGTCATCAGCATAAATACAGCTTCCGATGTAGACAGAGTTGTCCACGAGCTTCAGCTGTGTTCATTCAATAGTGAGTGAGGGGGAAGACGACTTCCAGTCTTGTGGTAGCACTATATACTTTAAGGGAGATAAGCGCATACCATACTTAGACGCTTCAATCGCCAGACCGTACGAAAAGAGGTGTACACACTGTGAATCGTCACCTAGCAGAGCGATATCCTCAGCATAATCTAAGATGTTCACTTGATTGCCAGGAAGAAGCTCAAGATCAAGATTTTGTGAGCCTTCCAGATATGTCAACTTGGCATCCTCCATTGCAAAGTTGTGGAGGAATGGAGACAAGGGGCACCCTTGTCGCACACCATCAGAGATAGCGAAGGGTGAGGAAAGCTTACCATAGACCCTCACTCTACCTTAACACTTGGAAGTAAACCGCCCGGATGGTGGAAGTATACTTTTCGGGGATTCCATTTCTTAGCAAACAGTACCATAAAGCAGGCTGATTTACCGAGCCAAATGCAGCTCTAATGTTCAGGGAAACGACAATGGTTGGTCTATGGTAGAAATGGCGGTTTCCAAGGCTTTGGCGTAGTGTGAAGATCTGCTCCACGCATCCTCGACCGGGGCGAAAGCCAGCTTGTTCTCCGTAAAACTCACGGATCGGGAATAGTCTGCGGTGCAGAATGGATGCCAGTAGTTTAGAGGCAACCGACATGGGAATGATTCTCCTGTGATTAGCACAAAATGTGCGAGCACGTTTCTTGAAAATAGGGACAATTACTGACTCACCGCAGGAGGATGGAATCTTCTCTTCTTTCCATATCTTGGAAAACAGCGGTGTCAGCTGATTGACAAGTGTAGGGCTGCCTACCTTGAACATTGGAGAAACTTTATCTGAGCCGTGAGACTTGAATCTCTTGAGATATCGAATCTCGACGTAAACCTCCGCTTCGTTAAGTGACTCTAATGAAATGACCCAGAGCATGCAATTGGGTGTACTTGACATACAAGCGGACAATGGATGATGATTGGATTGGAAGTGAACGTGTTCGACCCAACGTTTTACACATCTTCGCAGGTTAGTGATTCGTGACCCATCTGCTTCACAGCTAATCTCACTGAGACCAGGTCTTTTAGTGCTGATGAACCGAATGAGCTGCAAGAGCTAGCGGAAATTGTCGGAGTGAGCAGCGGTCTCCATCTCTGAGGCGCGCTGAAACCACCAAGTCTCGAGGTCATTACGCAAGCTTTGTTTAATTTACTGATCGACAGTCTGGCGCATAAAATATTTCGACGGCGGTCAAACAGTTCCAGCGAGAGAGCGAAGATGCAACTTTGTGAGACCACAAAGCGATTAAATAGAGGAAAACATCGCCTCCTACAAACAAGCGCAATGTTTCTCAGCATCCTGAGGTGAACTACAGGTGAGAGCATTCGAGAGTGCAACTTGATAGCTCAGTTGGACAGAGTGGTCAACTAACCGTTCGTGTCAATCTTACGGTGCAGTTGTTTCTGGAGCCCACCGAAGCGTATGCAGATGTTCACACAAATCATGGCGTGAACTGAGTCAAGATAGGTTGACCAGAATGACCTTCAGTATCGAATACTATTACCTCGCCAACGGAAACTTATTGCGATATTGTCGATCTGGAACCAGAATTGGGTTGACGACTGAGAACGCCAGGTTGTGGAACGTCTCTTGTTATGTTTGAAATTGGTGCTGGAGAGAAACAGGTGGTTGTCCTCGCACAATGTGAGAAGCCGGTCTCCATTATCTCTTCGTCTCTCGTTAAGTGCGTGCTAACCTCCCAGATGGCGCTCATATGGAAGCAAGCGAATGATCCGTGCATAAAAATCACCAGCAAGTATAACAACATCTGACTTGTCCACTTTACTCAAAAGAAGGTGAAGTTCGCGGTACAAGTCGTCCTTGACAGAGTCGCTGATGCAGTCGATTGGGGCGTAGATAGAAACCACAGACAAGTTGCATGTTTATTTGCGATGTCTGTTGATACGACATGATCCCTGAAGCCGAACTGCGCATAGCCGACTGTTAACTGGTAACCAGTCTAGCAACGCAGCTTCGACTTTCTTACTTGGAGCCACTCCAACGCCAGCCAAACCTGCTACAGCTACTTCCGCGTCAGTGGATAGACACAGTTGGTATATGGTTCCGCAATCAGAAAAAGATGTCAGCCTGAGTACACTGCTGGGATCCTGCAGCTGGGTTTCGGAAACGCAGCAAACGTCAATGGCGAGAGACTCCAGGGGAAGCGCCAGGCCGGCCTGTTGCCCAATCTGCATAAGCGTTCGTAGGTTGAAGCAGACCAATCGGAACATCGATCCAAGTTGAAGTATAGCTGTCGATTAAGTTTTCCGGGTGTCGGCGAAACCGTGCTCGGAGGCAGAATCAACGGAGATGAAGTTGACAACAAATTTAGTGTTGGCGTGTGATGGAAATCGGCGAACGACGAAAGCAACATTACCGAAGGCGTGAAAGGAAGGCAAATCTATGGTTATTCTCAGCGGGCATGATACTACCCGGTTGCCCAGGCCGAGGTAGAGAGTTGACTTAGGGACCTCTGCCCCGAGCGTTTGACACAATAACCTACCTGCAAGGCAGCAGGGCGAAGTCAGGGGATTGCGTCCACTGGGATTCGGTGACCGATTGCACGGTTCATACGTCTTTTGTTTGGCGATCTGCCAAACTGGGGTCATCCAGAGATTCAGACTCAATCTGAAGAATGACAATGCTTTACTGAAGCAAAACAAAGAGCAGTGACTATTTAATGGCGAGTCACATCCGCCACGTCACAGTGTTGTTAGACAGACAATTGTGGCTGTTTAGTGAGGACACTTGCCAGGCGAAAACCGACCACATCCTGGAACACTACCGCCGAACGGGGTAAACCCGATCCATCCAGCTAGCACCACGAGGAGGCAAGTCAGCCATTAAGCGAATTTAATAAAGTGGAATGCTTTTTATTCGTCGAAAAAATCTTGTTTAAGTGTTAATCGATGTATCCCAACTGCAGTGAAAAAGCACGAGGCTTCAGCTACATACGTTCATGATTAGCGGCATCCCATCCCAGACTTTCCTGTCACTGTTGCCTACAAAGGACAACCACAGAACGCATACGCCTACAGAGGGACAGTGCGTGGCTTGCGCTGCACCACCCACCGACTAGGCTTGAAGAAAATCATCGAGACGGATACGTTTATTTCGCCATTGTTGTGGAACCCAGCAACCAGCGCTGTCATGTACCTTATCAAAAGTAAATGAAACAGTGGGTGACGATCAGATCTGTTCTCAATGAACGAAGGGATATTTTATAGTGCACTTTTTGCTTTCTTGCAGACTCTCAGTGCATCGTGTTAATATTTAGTCGGCTATACGCAGTTGTACAGCGCTAAAGTATGGTCGACGCTATTGTATGCACTAGAGCCATGGCTACTAAAGGTGGAAGGCAAGGTAACTTACAGCGTCTCATCGTTAATGTTTGTGAAATATTGCTCATCTCTTGTAAGGTCATCGACTGAGTTATGCTGAAGCTCTCCATCGAACCTCCTTGTGCTTCGCCCTGGTCATATTTTGCACTCCGTTTGGTCATGTTCTTCATGTTTGTTTCACCTACCTCAACACTTGTTGTTTTCGGATTGTTAGCCCAATTGATTCTAGCCTCAATGTGGCTCCAATCTTTGGCATGGAAAAGAGCTAGCTGGTGGATTCTACTCTCCTGGATGGGAATTTTGGGACCGACCACACTAGTGTTTCGAAACCTTATCTTACGCGACACAATCACCAGCGGTCTTACATATTATATCTTCCAGTTGTCGCCTGTTCTCATACGATCTCCTTTCTGATAGGTTTGTGTCCATTTACACAGCTTTTTCGTCCCTCTATTCTTGCTCATTATATTAACAATACAAACCGTGTCAACAGGGTCCACTACTCTTAGGCACTTATAATAAACGGAACCACTTTTGCGATAGCTATCAATAGTTTAAGCGACTCAGAACATAACTGGACTTGGTTATCTCTCAATGATATTTTGGCTTCATTCTTGCCAACATAAACCAACAATGGTTTTCGGGCACTTCGTAACTGATACAAACTGCGCCTAGCGCAGTTCACAAAAACCCTACCCCAGTGGTTATTGTTCGCCTTCACTGTCAAATATCATTCAACTTCTCAATGAAGATGATTGGTGCCACATTACAACATCGCTGTCGTTTGCCTGTGCTACACTCATTTCCTTCTACGTTTTATGGTCTGAACAGCGATTGAAATCTCTAACCCATCTATTGCATACATGCAGTCGTTGTTTCACATTCACGTCCGCTCAGTCGTTTTCATACAAGTTTCACTAAAGTCGTATCCTTCTTCACTCCCCTTTAACATATTTATCGCCTTGTCTTCAAAGATTTCTCCCTTAAATCCAGCTTTGCTTGCTACTTACAACTTAGACAATCGTCCGCCGTCTGAGTGAACTACACTGTTCGTACACTGGGTCATCACTGGACCTTGCTGTCACCGTCTCTCTCTCTCTCCTCTATGTGACATTCTGAGACATATTGGTTTAGGTGGTCTGGCTCATTCGTGTTCAGCATTTTACAAGCGGTGGGGCTTATTGCCCGTGCATGTGTGTGTTCAACTTCCTTCTTTATTTTGATCTTGATTATTCCATCTTATCTCTTGCATATCCCTTCGATCTATTTTAGACACGAGCAGCGCAAGGCGTGCATGTTGAAGCTAATCAAGTTACTTCGCGATGGTACCGTTTGCAACTTTGATGAATACTTCAAGCCTACTTTGCTCATTTTGTTAGAAACTCTCGGAGATGATGGAGTATGTCACTTGCGTTACGCTTATTTCATGCCATGAGACAAAATATCTAAACGTTTGTAGTGACCAAACTCAAAACTTCAACCTTCCTCCATCTGTGTTTTTTTATGAATTGATGAACGCTACAACTTAACTACTCTGTTTGCTGGGTCTGCGGCTTTATCTCATCCCCGTTACCCTCATCGCTTCATCTGCCACGAAACTCCATATAGCTACTTTCATTCTTCACTCGAAAACGCCTGTTCTTACGCGTTAGTCACAATGTCCCCTGACCTGCTCAACGCACTAGTCATAATGGCCATGCGCGTATTTAACCTTTTTTTCATAATACCCACGCACGGTTCCAATACCAGCCGATAGGTTGGTGCAAGAACACAAAGCTGCAGAAAGGCCTATTCGTGTTTGTGCGTGATATCCCCCGATCGCCTCTTCTTGATGGGCTGCTCTTTCGGATGCGTTTGGGTATCCCTACACTATTCTGTCTGCCTTACAGCTGCTTATGCTTGCATTTCAAGGAGCCTTTGAAACGAATCTTTGGTGTACTGTTGCTGCGTTTATTTTCTTGTCCTGGATTTGATCGAGATTTTACTTCCCCTAAATCGATATTTCTCGATAGATTGGCCTCTCGTGTGACTGTTGGCGATGTCGCATTCGTATTGCTGCTCGTAGTCTTCGATTCTTCATCTAATGAGTATTGTTTCGTATTGATTTCTTTTCCTTTATATTTTCGTCTGTCCTTCCATTGTTTTTGTTGCTTTTTGTCGCGATGCATTTTTCCTTGTTTTTCCTCTCCTTAATCCTTCTGGATTCTCTTAGCTGGTCACATTCTTCCACCACGCTCTTGTTTGTGCGAACATCTGCATGAGTTTCGGAGGGTCCGCGAAAATGAAGCGCTGTAAGTAGACACAAATAAACTATCTACTTCGGTTCATCAATCTTCCCTGACCGATGCACTCACCTCCGAACCACCACGAAACATTGATGAACACTGAACGTCCGTGCAAAGACTATGATATCTTCTGGACCATCAGTCTGTGGTCTTACTCAGTTCCCCTATGAAGGCCTGGATCTCCACGCGCTCTTTGGAGCTACTTGACAGCCGCAGAAATATCCCTGCGGAGTCTAATCATAATGAAGTGCGCGGTTCTGTCAGTCAGAAGCTCAAACAAAGCCGACACAGCGATCATGAAGCTTTATGGTCTCAGCGTCCTTCCGAACTGGAGGCCGCTGCCTTGGCAATACTCGCAATCTCTTTCAACTCATTCGATCCTTTTGCTCATAAAACTTGGTGCCAGTGAGACTATTTGCGAAGCACATGATTCGCCGATTACCAACCTACATAGATGCTTGGATCGATGGACCGAACATTTTCATTCCCAGTTCATTTGACGCTCGACGTCTACTTGTCTACCCTGCGAACCGAGTTGCCCGCCTTGGGTCGTCACACTTGATCCACTCAGCGAAGTGGAGGTTCGTCTTGCGATTCGACACCTGAGACGATTCGAGGCTGTCGGTTCAGACAAACTTCCTCCCGACCTGTTCAAATATGCTTGTGCAGTTATCTTCAGTCAGCTGCCCCCATTGTTCTCCAAAATCTAGCACGAAGCAAAGGTGCCTTCTTCCTAGGGCGAATCAGTTATTGCCCCGGATTTTAAGTAGGGTGTTTGCACTTCATGCGCTAATCACCAGGGGATCAGCCTCCAAGCTATTAACATCCATTCTTCTTCATAGACTATCTCCGATTCGTGAATCACAGTATCGGGAAGAACAAGCTGGCTTCAGGCCTGGTCGTGGGTGTGTGGACCGAATATTCATGCTCCGCCAACTTCTCGATCACCGCCACTTTTACCAGATGCCTACCATCGCTGCATCCTTAGACATCCGTGGTGCATTCGACTTGGTTGATCTGCGCTGTAGCGTTACTTGCTAAGGTATGGCGTCTTAGAAACATTACCACCATCCTGCACACACTCTACCTACATGTCTTCAGCAGCGTGAGTGTCTATGGCAAGCATTTTTCCTCATTCGCTGTCAATAGTGGTGTACGACAGGACTGCCCTATGTACCTGTTACCTCACTTTTACTGTCTAGAACTTAGGAGGGTTATCAACATTTTGGACTGCAACTAAACACCACCTATATTGCGTCGTTATATCACACTACTTGGTGACACCCCGCAGAATATACAAACCATTCTGAACCATTTGACGATTGAGGCATTTGCGTACGGAATGTGCTTCGCCCCGCCAAAGTGCAAAGTGCTGCTCCAGCATTGACACTTACCCGCTTCCGTGCTCACTCTGGAAGGTGCACAGTTTGAACACCTTGATTACTTTGTACCTGGGAAGCTGCGTGTCTGTTGGTAGTAATCATCAAACCTGGTTTCTATCTCAAATCTCCTGTGACCTCGGTGTCTTTTAGTCCAGTTATTTGAGGATTTGATTTCATAAATCAGATAGTGCTGCCTGTTTCTGGAAGTATCGTTGGCAAGCGAAGATATAGGTGTCTGCTCGCTCATTCGTTCCGCCAGGTTTTCATACTTGGTCTCTAGATAGACTTGTCAACAAGCAGTTTAAAAAAATATTGATCCAAGTACTAATCCCTGTAGTTGCAACTGATTCATTTGTGGCGCTGGATAGATTGCACCAAGATCTTTCTGGATACGGCGGAAACTTAGGTTCTGCTGGAGTTGGTCCTAGGCTTTTAAGCAGTTTAGCGTTGTTCTTCTCACCTTTGCACACACTTCTTGCAAATATTAACTAAAATCATCGCTTCTACGCTTGAGCTGTGACGTGAACACAGATGTTCTAGCTTAGCGACTTGGGATTGATCAGCTTCTGATATGCTTTGAGCGTGGTGCTTGGACAACTTAGTGCTTTGAGAAACATGACACCGTTTGAATACTTTCCAATATGTCTATCTGTCGTTTTATCGTCATATCCCCTGTGCTCTCTTTATTAGTTCATCCATGGACATGAACCTACGTGCGAGCGATCGATATTCTGTTCATTCAGATCACCCCATAAAATGCAACTGTTCCTGAGTGTAGAGGACAGATTTTTACTTTGTTTCTCACCACTCCCGTTCGACTTATGCTAAATACCATGGTTGTCCTCTGTTGGGCAATTCTGTGAAAGGCTGTCTTACTTTACACTTACTCTTTAGAGCATTAACCGAGATATTGTCTATGTGTATGTAGCCGCTAATCGGTCTTTTTGGACTCCCATACTACTTCTCCATAATTGCGCCACTGCTTTCCCAGCTCGTTTTAGTGATGCTGTACAGTTCGACAGCATCAACCCGCGTTTAACTAGTAGCAGCTTGTCGTCATGCACACCATTACTTAGCCTACGTGTCAATGTTTTTCTAAAGCCTGTGATCGTAATTCTTTGGATACTTCGGATGTCGAAAATTCCTCGGACTATTAGCTATTTCAAATAAGATAACAATGGCGTTTTTCCCGAATAACTTGGCGAGGACATGGTACTTTGTTACCTACTCAGTAAAGGCAAAAACATTTTCCAATCTGGCTTATCTTAGTACTGAAACACGCCTAAACCTTTTGTTTCCTCCAAATTGATTACAACGCCAGCATCCCTGGATATTATTCCACTCGGCAGCGTATGCTCTTCTGACAAGTGTGGTAGATTCGTTAAGATGTAGATCACGTCCTCAAACTACATTGGTGCGTTCAACCTCAAATATGCAGTAATGTCAGCTCAAGAAGTGAGACAGTGTAACCGCCGGCATTTGGTTTCGTCCGACATGCCGAGTCCTTCCAGTCGTCAACCGTTTATGTTAGCTCATGTAGTAGTGCGACAAGTCGACTGAGCTAGTCGAGCATTTGGCGAACATCGGGATGTTACGTCATTGAAGCGTGTCTGCCGGTGCTCGTATCCCTATGAGTTGCTTCATGATCTGTCATTAGGCCGATGAATCGACCCAGGAGCTTTCCTCACACTCCATCGTCTGTGCCCGCCAGTGTTCTGGTCCACCCCACTTCCATAAACGAACAGGCATCGAGTGTGAATGCCACTCCTTTCACGGGTGCGACCCACATCTAATGGTGTCGATGATGACGGACCCGAGCCATCATCAAGAAAAGCCGGGCATCGTATGTACTGATTACCTTTATGACAGCACCGGCGAAAACGCCCGCTACTCCGTTCGGTCCAAGACATGGTTCCGTCACAGTAAACTCGGGTATTATTACCTCCATTCACAATGAAGTTCATTTGAGCCTACTTTATACCTTTCGGTAGCAATTCTCGATGGGCTCTCCAAGCAAGTGAATGTGGTCATCCCCAATGCATTAATGGGCTACATAGAAAGCTACGGTATCGTCGCACCGGAGCAGTATGGTTTTCGTCTTCCATTGTGTACAATAAACTTGTTATTTGCAGGACTCAACCAGACTGAAGTAGTTGACACAAGGCGGAAGAACCGTTATTTCTACTTGGAATTTCCAAAGACGTCCAACCGCTTGGACCATCGTACGATGCTTTACCGGCTTCATATATATATATATATATATATATATATATATATATATATATATATATGATTTTGGCGATCCGGTTTTATGTTGGACCAGTAACTTTATCTCCGGATGGCCCATTTCGAATCGGGTTCATCGTACCGCGGTGTTCAGTACTTGGACCTCGTCTTTTCTTAGTTTTCATTAACTATCTAGCAAGAATTATTACCTCAAAAGTTCTACTCTTCGAGGACAATGTTATGATTTGATGAGTGATCAGAGGATTGGACAACGATGATATCCTCCAGCTCAACTTCAATGAGGCGTGGAATTGGTCGGTGAGGAACGCGCCGCCATTCAATGTGAACAAGTACCGTGTTATTCACATTCGCCACCGACACACTAACGTCTATAGGCTTAGGACGCGGGATTTGCAGACCACTTCTCAGAAACGCATCCTGAATGTGCTCGTACAAGGTGACCTCGATTGCTCCAGATAATCTGATCTTGCCTTATAGAGAGGCAACCGGCATGTTCGTCTTTTGTGGTGGGTACTCGAGAGTTTAGGTTCATTCATTTTCTTTCTGATACTTAATGCTTATCCGGAGAAATGCTATTCGGAAAATGTCAAAAGTTTGTGCCGCGTTTTGTATCACTCAAGAGTGAAAGAACTCTGGGGCTTAGTGTTCGCTACCAGCGGTTGCTCGGAGATTTCATAATGACATGTTGCCTCCCGATCGATCACATATGCCGCTATCTTTTGGTACTCAGCCAAAACACTAATCCAAAAGGCGATATTCTGAAATGAAGTCTACAATACGGTCGTGTAGATTGTCACCGAAATTACTTATCCCTTCGTGTCCTCCGACCCTGGAATGCTCCTACAAACTTTGTTGTTTGTGTCACTGCTCATCTTCAAAAGCTATCTGTGTTTAATTACGTTGATGTGTACTGTGGAATGTATTCCGCTTACTTTGCTTATTTAGACTTAGATTCCGCGCTTATGCACAACAACAATCGGCAAAGATGGGTGTGCCACCTTATTGTCTTTTACAGTAAGCGTCAGCTAGAATGAGCTGTTCCACTAGTTCACCTGGTACTTTACTGTTTCCTCAAACTTGCCTGTAACTTGCTGCCATGCTGTCACGTTTTGGTTTGTCCGCAGGCGCAATCTTAGCTTTTACACTCCTCTCTGATCAACCTATGAAACCTGTTAAGCATGTGCTTTTTTACCAGTCATAGACCATTGTTTCACTGCATTTTTTCTTAATTCCTTTTCTTGTCACAAATGGATTGCTTCCCAACGTATCTTCGCATCTTCTCGGGTTCCCTTAACTGAATCGTCCGATCTATTGAACACATTAAGCTGGCCTACGACATTGCCTCATCATGACTTATTTGAAACCGTCCCTAACGCATCATTTAAGTTGTTAACCGTACTCTGTTGGATCACACTGATTGGAACCAAATGATAATTCTCACTGCGGTAGCCAATACTTAGGTTTCGCTATCCGTCGTCCTTTATCCAGCAGGTAGTGCCACCGATTTTTGTTGACTGACTTCAGTTCCAGCTCGAGTCGAGGCTTGTACCGTCTTGCGTCTTTCACTTCTGTCTCGCATTGTAGTAACAAATGTGGTTTCCGACTTAGCTGAATTCGATTAACTGAAAGCCCTTACTTATCTTCGTCGTGTTTCTTGGAATCACTCGACCAACCGGATACTTTTTGCTGGTGGCCAAGTGATCTGCACGCCTGGCTTGCAGTCCTTAGGTCCCCCGTCCGAATCCGCGTAGAGGCTGGCCTCCTCGCTGTATGATCAGCCCACGCGCGGCAGTGAAGCACCTATACGGCGTACAGCTGACAATTCATTCACATGAAATAAAAATGGGACTTCTGTGTTGTGGCTTCTGATAATCTAACTCTACTCCATGGATGATTGTGTTCACCCCCTAACCTCTCTCTATGCATTGTGCTTTTCTCAGTAAACAACATTCGCTGGGTTGCATTTTTCCAAACGACCTACTTCATCCATTTTCTCTGTTGTTTTCTCAGTATGAAACACGTACTCTAGCTTTGAAAGTGCTGCAAGAATTGGTTCGTACAAAAGCTGATCTCTTCCACGCGTTCGTTCATCTCTTTATCATGAAGATACTGGATGCTTGTCGAGACGAAGAAAAGTCGGTACGCATTTGATGTTATTTTGCGCCTTACCGCATGCTAAGTACTCTTGTATTTGCAGTAATTCTCCGTCATCTGCGGCCTCCGGTAAACTGCTTAACACATTGGTTTGTCGTTGGATGGCGTATAATTTGTGTGCATCTTCTTTCTTAAATGATAACGCCATACTTTTTCCTTCACTTCCATTCATGATCATCGTTTCTTCCTCTTTGTTCATCTCTCCTGAAACTGTATTTTATGATAGAATAACATGTTTCATCCTACTGTTTTACTGTCAAGCGATCTATCTCTATGACGGCAGACACCCCAATAATAGCCGGGGTCTTCTTCACTCCTCATCAGCACCAGATGCACTTCCAACTTCGCAATGACCTCTCATTGAGCTTCCCTCGCACTTATCGTGCTCTTCTCTCATTGGTTCGGTTTTTCTTCCCTAGGTTGTGCGCTCAGCCGAGGAGTGTGCAAAGACGGTGGCCCAATGTCTCCCTCCCGATCTTTGCTTCAGCGTTCTCACCCCATTAATCGATGAGCAGCAATTGCAAATCAACCTGCCCGCCGTAAAAATGCAGGAACATGTTGTGCGAAATTCCTCACCAGATTTGATATTCAATGTTCTTAACGCCATCATCCCCGGGTTGATATCAGTGAGTTCAATCCGCTTTGCTATTGTTTTAGTTTTTTCCCATCAGGTTCATCATTTCTTTGTTACTTACCGATCAATTGCTGCTCACTAACCTACGGTATAACTGGCATGCCGGAATTTGATGGACCGTTTTAAGGTTACAATCTAAACCAATCCGGCAAAGAACTTCTTCCTTTCATTCCACAGGCTAAATCAGCTTCTGATGAAGTTATCGTTGGCCAGACGGATGTGCAAAATCAGCATCACCTCTCACTGTGAGCAAGATAACGTTTGCGCACATCCCTCTTCTTGAGTGAGCCTTACGCCGCCACAGATGGAGATTGAACGCGCTCTCGTCTACGCAAGCGCACTTCTCTTTGTCATGTGGTGTGTATACTTACAAGTCGACAGCGCAACTTCGACGGCTTGCGATCGTCGTTGTACTGCTGAGTCGGTCTAGCTCGTTCTGACACTTCTTAAGCGTGATCTTTAGCCTTCTGCTGGCATTGCAGACCTTAGCTACGAAAACATGAATCCCGTTCTCTTTCAACCATGGCTGTATCTGCACCAGTGTTCTCCGAATGTCATTCAACGGTCTCGTCATTGCGCTGTAGGACGTCGGGAGTCCGCTTCTCTCATTGACATCGGCGTCTTCAGTAGCTTCGTGACTGGTTTTGCCGTCGTCGAAAAGCTTGGCAAGGATCTCTTTCTATGCCAGTGATGTTCGCTGGCACCGTCGCTGTCTGGTGGACGCGACTTCTCATCATTCGTCACTCATTTTGGTCGGTTGGTGTAGCAGTAGACCAAGAAAGCTAGACTAAGTTTGGTGCAGTCATAACAGCCTACACTGTTCTCAATCGCGCAGCTGCAGAGGTTCACACACACACACACAATACGCGAGGACCGAAAGACGACAGCGAAAAACTGTGTCACCGTTTTTCATTGGAAGAAACGACGCTCATGATCAAAAAAGCGCTTCCGCAAGCATCATCTACCTGCACAATCCAGGTTATCTTAGCCTGCCTGCAATGTGGCCTGAACATCTACTAGTCGCCTTACTCATCAAAACTTGCCAACCACTTGCTCAATTTCTCGTAACAATAAAAGGTGTCCTGTCTGATTTGCGAAATGCTCAGGCGATATATATATATATATATATATATATATATATATATCACGATAATTGTACCTTAGTGTTTTAGTATATAACATCGGAAAGGAGTCGGCGCGTAACGACAATTGTTTAGGAGCGCCGAATGGATGCACTTGAGACGTACAATACAGATCGTTACCTAATATCTTATGGCCACAGCAGCTTACACAGCTGTATGTGCCAACGGTTGAATAGTTGCATGATAGCTATGCCACTTCCTGGAAATTTGCAAAACAGTGAAAAGCCGAATGCTTGCAAGTGGGCAGCGGGACTTTGTTGATGTAATACTGTGGTCGCTGTCGTGCCAATGAAGTTATAATCGGCGAATGTGTGATATTACCACCTGTCAATGCTTAATGTTGCGCAAAATAGGTTCTTTGAGAATCTGCACGCACCTCAGGCAGCAGATGACCGAACCGGTCGGCGACACGGTGAGCCTGAAGTGAATACCCCATCGCATTCGCACGTTGTGCGATCTCCTCCATCAGCTCCGCAAGCCCGAGTTCTCATATAGGAGGCAACACTTAAGTACACACTAGTTTGCTGTATCACTTGTTTATTTATCATTCTACCCGTAACCGTACTGACAGCATGTGCTCCCCTATTCCTACATCGGTGCATCCGTTCCTAATCGACTCACTAATCCAGGCCAAAGTGACAGCGGAGGTGGTGCATTTGGCTGCGTGCTGAGTATTCTTGCGTTGCAGTTGTTTCATGTTGATTGAGCTCCCCGGTGTGGTTGCGCTTGATGTGATTGTTGACAATATATATATATATATATATATATATATATATATATATATATAGTATGTATATATATATATATATATATATATATATATATATATATATATATATACTATATATATATATATAGTGTGTTTTATTACTTATGTCCGAAACTACGATCGGCTGCATTGAGGTGCGAACGTATCCCTGCACGCTTAATTGCTAACTGTCCAATGGCGCAAATTGCTTTGCCGTGCGTGTGTCCGCAGGGGTGAGCCGGAGCACAGAGGCGGGACATGTGTGTCTACGATCGCAGGGTACACTGAGCTGTTCGGCTGTGAGAAGTGAACGTTAGCCGAACACCGCAGCCTTAATCGACTTGTCTTGCCTCGATGGCAGGGCAAGACCTAACGGAACACAGGCCGTTTGGCTGTGAAAAGTGAACATTAGCCAAACACTGCGGCCGCAATCGACGTGTCGTGCTTCGTTCACCAGAGAAGACCAACGAAACACGGCCTTTCGGCTGTGCCAAGTGAGTGTTAGCCAAACACCACAACCGCAATTGATGTATTCTGCTTCGCTCGCAGAGCAAGACTAACGGAACACAGGACGTTCGGCTGTGAGAAATGAACGTTTGCTAAACACCGCAGCCGCAATGGACGTGTCATGCTTCAATCGATTGGTTGTCGGCTTTCACGCAGGTGAAAAGCCAGCAAAAGGATTCTTTGCGAGATGGTTAGTGACTCGCTGTGCTGGCGATTGGGAAGAACAGCCTGACCGTATGTGATGACCGGTCGATGGGCGCCATACAGCTATCGCAATACATAGCAAAAGACAATCGCCACAAAAACTGTTATCGCCTCATGACTGGTTTCCAACAAACCTGTAAGCTTTTATTAAGTTGCTTTCGCTGCTAAAGGGAATTGTACTACCAGAAGCATACTCTGTGTACAGTCTTGTTCACTTCACCGTTTCGATCGCATATGTGTTACAGCTCTAGGCTCATTGCTTGGGCTGGGTCAACTGGTCGAAAATTCATTGAGCCCTTATTCTTTTCCAGGAATGTGTACAGTAGGTTGTTGTTAGTACTTATGTCTGCCATTTCTTAGCGTCCTCGTACATGGAAATGTTGCAGAGCAGCCTCATTCCGCAGCTGCATTCGGAAGGATTACTGAATAACGTTTGGTGGCAGCAAGATTGCGTGTCTGCACATTCGGCGCAATCGGTTCATGCCTACCTGAGCATTCGGTGGACGTCGGATCCGTCGCGGAGGACCGGTAGAAAGGCCTGCGCGGTCACCGAATATGAATTCCACGGATTTTTTTGTTATGGGGATACTTGAAGCGTAGTTTATAAAACAAAACCCAACAGACTGGATGGACTGAAAGAGAACATTGTGAACGGATGTAGCCGGATCTCGTCGGACACATTACAGAAAGTGCTCGCCAACACCATCCGACGAATGCTGCTTTGCAGCCAAAACGGCAGAGGGCACTTTGAACATCTAATTCGTTGATATTTACATACATTTCATTTAAATATATGTAAAGAAATAAATAAATGTATATTTTCGACTGCACACGAGATACACCATCGAAGACCTGATCAATTTGTACAGCTAGCAATTGTCTGACCGTGAGAGCAGTAGTTTCATCCATGACTATATTGGTGTGCTGTCCAATGGTGCTACCAGTGCGTCGGGGCAGACTAAAAGCTAAGAGCATTGTCTAATCAAGTCAAGTAAAGAATTCGTTTTTATGCACCCTTGAATGGTGAATTTTCAGCTGCAACACACACGAGATCGAAACGATAAAGCAAGCAAGACTGTACACTTTATGCTTCTGTTAGTACGATTCCCCTTAGCAGCGAAAGCAGCTTAATAAAAGCTTACGGGTTTGTTGGAAGCCAGTTATGAGGCGCTAACAGCTTTTGTGGCGATTGTCTTTTGCTATGTATTGTGACAGCTTTCCGGCGCCCACCGACCGGTCATCACATACGGCCAGACTGTTCTTCTCAATTGCTAGCACTGTGATCGACTAACAACTTCGCTGGCTATTTTGCCTGCATGAAAACCGACAACCAATCTATCGAAGCATGACACATCGATTGCGGCTGTGGTATTTGGCTAACGTTCACTTCTCACAAGACGCAGTACATCAGCCATCTGAACTAATACTTCGCCGCCGTACATCCTTCATGGCTTCTGAAATAAAGAATAATAAGGGAGAGAATGGGGACTTACTTGAAAATCTTCATGCTCTAAACAATTATTCAGGGGCAGGGCGCCTGTACCTTGTGCAGATAACCTACCGTCAGTAACAGCTGAGTATCGTGCAAAGATAAGGCGGCATCAGCGAGACAGCTTCCTTGCAGCTTTCACTGCCCCGCGTCATAATCAGCCATTACCACGCAGATAACTCAGCACCAAACGCACTTTAAACAGACAATCCGACTAACAGTGGCAGCAGACGCGCCACTGGTTTCGATTGCTAGCCGTGTCCTCTAAAGTCTCGAGCCAAGCACAAGGCGAGTCTCGTGGACTCCAGCCCGGAAGGCCATGCGGACCAATGTCACCCAGTTTGGTCGTCAGCGACTTCATTTCCTGCTGCCAAGTGAATCTCGCGCTTTGCGCTACCTTACACATGTCAGACTAACCAAGGCCCTCCTAGGTAAGCGGTGACTAGGCATACGTAGCACGTGCCCGAGCCAACGCAACTTATTCAGTGCTACTCGTTTGTTCTAGGGAGTTGGCATTATTATCACTACCTAGTACTCGCCTACGCACATCATCGTTGCGGACACGCTGAGGCCATCCGACACCAGCAGCGCTCCGCAGACAACGATGATCAAAGACTTGAAGGCGCCTCAGCTCTTCAGACCGAACGGGCCAAGTCTCATTGCCATAGAGCAGAACGGCCCTCACTGTAGCCTTGTATACACGGCCTTTCAGACGGAGGGAAACTGCCTTCTGTCGCCAAAGATGCCGCAGGTACAAGAAGGTAATTCTGCACTTTGCAATGCGTGGACTGACTTCAGTTTCTATGCGACCATCGTTGCTGATGCAGCTGCTAAGGTTAGTAAATTGATCAGCCGCCTCGAGTTCCTCGTTATCAAGGGTCAAGGGGTGATAAAGTGGCTGG